AAGACTGACAGGCCACATAGATTTCCAAGGCATATACTGTCTAGACTTAACACTGGAGTTTTGATTTAAAATCTGTTCATCTATTAAAATTTCTATGTTATTTTATTTAATGGAGTTAATATTCCAATAATAGTTTTATAAAATGTCTCTTTTTTTTAATTCTTAAGCTATTTAATTTTACGTATAGAAAAAGTAATTGAAACGTATGCTTACCATACTTGTCTCCATTTGGAAATATAAAGTTTATCTTATACACTTCTGGAGCTGTTTTAAAAGATTTAAGAAAAATCACATAAGTTTAAATACTTTTATGTCATAAGACCTATAATAAATGTGCTTCAAGCACTATCCAAATAGACTCACTTCACATGATCACTTCACATGATATGCTTCAATTAAGCATATCATGATTAATTGGCATTTTTTAAATTTAATTTTTTAATTTTAATTGATACATTGCAATTATACATACTTATGGGGTAGAATTTGATGTTTTGATACATACATATGTTGTAAATAATCAGGTTAGGATAGTTAATGTATCAATCACCTCATGCATTTATCATTTCTTTGTGGCAAAAACATTCAAAAGCCTCTCCTCTACCTATCGCGTAATATAAGAAACTTAACTGTTAGCCACAGTCACCCTACTGTGCAATAGAACACTAGAACTTAGAACGTTAGTACTTTCCTATTTAATTGTAATTCTGTACCTATTGGCCAACCTCTCCCTGTTTTCCCTTCCCCTCTCTCTCCTACCCAGTCTCTGGTAACTACGTTCTACTCTCTGTTAACTGGCATTTCCACTGCCCAGTAGGATTCTGGTGAGATAAATAATTTTGTCTAGATAATCTATTTTTATTTCTTTGTTTATTATTACAGCTTTATTAATATGTAATTCACTTACCACAACATTTATCCTTTTAGAGTACTATACAATTCAATGTATTTTAGTATATTCACAGGGTTGTACCACCATTACCACAACCTAATTTTAGAATATTTTAATAACCCCAGAAAGAAACCCTGTACCAATTAGCAGTTACTCACCATTTCCCTCAAAACCCCAACACCCCCACCGCATGCCACTGGCAACTACTAATCTATTTTCTGTGTCAATAGATTTGACTGCTCTGGACATTTCTTATAAATGGAATCATACCATATGTGGTCCTTCGTGACTGGCTTCTTTCAATTAACATAATATTTTCAAGTCTCATCCATGTTGTATCATGTGTAAGTACTTCATTTCTTTTTATTGCCAAATATATCGTACACATATATTGTATGCAAACAGCACATTTTGTTTATCCATTCATCAGTTGATGGACATTTAGGTTGTTTCTAGTGTGAGGCCCATTATGAATAATGCTGCTACAAACACTGGTGTACAAATTTTTGTGTGGACATGTTTTTATTTCTCTTGGGTAGCTTATATAATCTACTGATTGTCCCACATAGGTAAGGAGGTCCAAGCAGAATGAGATTGGATTAGAGACCAGGTGAAAAAGGAAAAAAGAAGACCACAAGACAGGGAGGAATCCGTGATTCAGAGCCCTGGGACATTCAGAGGACTGAAAAATTAAAAATAACTTTTTCCAACACTGAGGAAAACATATATGAGAGTACTTCAAAAAGTGCATGGAAAGATTCATATCATCTTTTAAGTCTATTTTTTTCCATGCACTTTTTGAAGTACCCTCATATATAGAGAGGATAAGTAAATTCTAACTTCTAAGATGGTAGAGTCTACTAGAATGTTACTCAAAGTGTGGGCCATGCACCCAAATCACCTGGGTTGCTTCTGAGTTCCTAGGCTCTACCTAAGATCTACTGAATCAGAACCTCTATGGGTGGGGCCAGGGAACTGATAGTTTTAACTTAAAAATTAATTAGGTGTCAGTTGAGAGAGGCTGGAGGCTCATCTCTTCTGAAGGAAAAGAGTTAACAATTGCAATAGGTTAAAGACTTTAAAATACTGTAACATCTCCAGAGAGAAAGGGAGGCTATAGTATCCTTGAAACAAGAACAGGTGGTTATGAAAAAGAACAAATTAGCAATCAAGGAAATTAATAATATAATTGGTGAAATAAAACTTCTTATAAGGGCTGAATAGCAGAATGGATACAATCGAAAAGTAAATTAGTGAACTGGAAGATTAAGTTGGAAATTTTCTCAGAAAGTAGCACAAAGAAAAGTTTGAGGATGATGAAAATAGATCCAAAATACTAATGAATAATAAGCTTAATAAGAGTTCCAGAGGGAAAGAATTAGGGCAGGACACAATATTTGAATAAACAGCCCCAAATTTCTCAGAACTGAAGAAATGAGTGCTTGGACTACAAATGAGTACTAAGCAAAAGCCCACACCCAGACAGGTTGTAGTGAAATTTCACAACATAGAGACAGACTAACATCAGGTAGGTTAGTGAAAAACAAGCAAACAAAAACCAGATTACCTATAAAAAACTACAAAGGAATAAGAAGCAGACTGACACAGTAAAAAAAAAAGGAAAGAAAAGGAAAAGAAAAAAAATGGCATGATGTTTTTATTTTATCCCCAAATTATCAGTCTAAGATGATAAAAACTAAAGATTCTTTTGGACATAGCAGAATTCAGAGTTAATACCCACACTTTGTCTCTGAAAGAAATACAAGAAAATGTACTCTAACAGGGAGAAAAATGAATCCAGGAGAAAGTACGAAGACAAAAATGAAATGAGGGAAAAAGCGATTAGTAAAAAAAATTATTGAGAAAGTATTTAATGTTAAGTACTGGGTTTTTTTACATTGTTAGGTTTTGAGAAAGTATTTAATGTTAAGTACTGTTTTCTTTTACATTGTTAGGTATTTATTATTTTAAAATAGAATCTGTAACTAAAATGCAGGTAATAGCTAATATGGAAGTGGTGTGAGGGGTAGAGAGCAATCTTCCTAGAATTCTGAACTTGTTTAGTAGTTAAATATAGACACTGATTAGACTAAATCTTAGAAAAGTATAAATTACCTACGTTTGTTCATTCTTTTCTATAATTTCTAAAATTTCGTTGTGGCGATAAAGGGTGAAGTGTGGGGGTACAGAGAGACTGCCATGTGTAGTCATACATTAGTTATTTAGATGTCTGCAATCTTTGAAGTTCTGAGGGGACAGGGACACAGAACTGCTTTCTAAGGGGTTAATGATACTAACTAGATCGCCAAATCTGTTTGTAGTGCTCCACAGGAGCCATTCTGTACTCTCTCCCCGGAACACCCCGGAACACCCGTCTCTGCCTGGTAAACTACATTCCACCTCAGAAGTTGCAAAGTAGAACGTAGCAGTTAGGGGTTCGTGCTCTGGCATCAGACTACCTAGGTTTGGATCGGGATTCCGCCATTTTCTTTGGCCTTGGACAAATTACTTAAATATGTCTCAGTTTCCTCATGCTTAGATAGGGCAAATTAAGTGAATGAGCTCATCCACGTAAAGCACTTAGGCTAGCGTCTAACGCTGTAAACATTAGCTATTGTTTTCTTGTAGCCCCGGCTCAGGTATCGCCTCTTACTGCAAAGTTTCTTTTCTTTTCTCCTCACCCGCAAACTCCTCTAGGAGTCCCCACAGCACTCTGGGTCTATCCCGATGATAGTACTTAGGGATCTATTAAAACATGCTTTTGTGTCAGGATCCCCTATCACATCCACCTGCTCCAGGACAGGAATCGCGGATTAGACAAATCTCTTTTCTCACCCTACTGTGCAGCTCAGTGTTTAGCACTAATTGTAGCTGAATGTCTAGTGAATGAATGGCACTTGGGAAGCAATCGTTAAATGCCTGTTAAGCATTTAACGATTTAACAGAGCACTAAGCGTAATCATATAGGAAACTGAACTTTTCAATTGCCCTTGGAAGGTTCCACATTCAAAACTTCAGAATGTTACCGCTAGAGGGAACCTCAGAGATAGAGACCAGCCGGCACCCCAGAGGGAAACTGAAGCCCAGAGACGTTGGCACCTGCCTGAGGTGTCACAACAGCTAATTAACGGCGGAATCAGAGCTAGAATCCAGGTCTCCTTACTCCCAGACCAGGGGCTCTCCAAGCCCCCGCCCCACCCCCCCAGTGTAGACGCTCAGGAACTAAGTCCATCCGTCCTGGAGTTACTAGGAGCCGAGCTCTGACTCAACCCAAGTTCTACTTAAAGGCGCCCTTCCCCGCCCGAGGTCTTGGCAGAGGAGCACTCACGTGCCAGAGAGGTGTTGGACAGATTTTCCTGACTTTGCGATTCCCTCTGGGTCGCCAGCTCGGCGGCCTGGAGGGAACGAGGTGCTAGTACAGCGCCAAGCCCAACTCGGTTGCTAGGGCGACCAGGCACCTCTCACCCGGAAGCGAATATGCGAGGGGCCGAGGCTGAGCCAATCAGGGGGGCGCGGGGGCTGTGCCGCTGCAGCTGGGCCGCCGCGCAGCCGCTGGAGGTGAACTCGGTGAGGGTGGCAGAGCTCCGTCCGGGCCTCTGACCCTTGGGCGCCGCCTCCCGACAGCTGGCCCGGGAAACAGCGCTGCGAGCCAGGTACGGCCTCCCCTTCCGCGGACAAGTGATGTGTGGCCGTGTGCGTGGTCTGCACGTCGCCCTGATTGTTAGCGTGTGGCCCGTCTACCACCTTGATCCGGGAGTGGTGGGATCCGAGGAGCATCCCGGCCCCGAGTGTCCCAGACTTGTCTGCCTGCGGCCCGGGAATCTGAACCAGCAGGATCCCAGGCCCTAGGACCGGGCCAGGCGGACGTCTGCAGCCACGATTGTTCCCGCTCAGGCTGGAGGCGGGGGCGCGGAATTCAGGATCGGAGCGCGGTAAACGGTTGGGTTAGAGGGGCTCACGCTCCATTTCCTGTTTCTGTCTCCATCACGAACTGAGTGGCTATTTGGCGAGAAGGTTGGGGACGATGCGTGTTGGAAGAAAGGTGCGAGGTCTGGGTACCTGGATGGAGCTGGATATATTGTGGTCGGTCAGAATTTCCTGGGAGGAGAGTGGTGTGTGGTCTGCTTTCAGTGCTCAGCGATGATTCTGTACTTGGGAGCCAAACTCGGGTGGGAAACAAAGGATACTTGTAGAGCCAAACCTAGGTCCCTCTGTGCACGGTGAAGAAAGATAGTTGGATCTGCCCAGGCTAGATAGGCTAGATGGAATAGAATAGCAGAATCTAACCATGTGGATTATACAACCTAACTTCTATTCCCTGGGAAACGTCTGGAGAGAGTGGTATTGGAAACCACTGCAGCCAGCAAGTCTTCATTCAAAATTTTGAGTGCAGATCTCAGATTAAGTTGTAAAGGTAACATTTTCTGTGTTAGTGTGAGATAAGTTGTTTTAAATCAGAGTACAGTATCTTCTTGCTTTTTTCCTAATGTTTCTCAGTGCACAAATTTACCTGAGCTGGGTGGTTTTTGAGATGAAGTTGTGATCTCTTTCACTTGTCTATCCTTTCTCTTTTTCTAAATTTTAGAAATAATAGATAATTATTGATGCACAACCTTACAGAGTTCAGTTTGTCCCATTGTTTTAGTCACCTATTAAGCTTTTAATGACCCTACATTTTTGTGAATATATGTATATGTACTGCTATTTTTGCAGAAGAATTTGTGGTTTGACTTCTTTCTTATGATTTTTTTTTTGGTGGCTGGCCAGCATGGGAATCTGAACCCTTGACCTTGTGGGTTATCAGCACCACGTTCTAACTAACTGAGCTGCAGTCTTACTATATTCTTATCTAGAGAGGATCTGGAGTCAGGGGAAACTTGTAATGATTGGGTTTTAAATTTGGATTGAAAGCATGTATAATCATGTTTTTTGTTTTCTGTATTTATGATGTTTTGTTGTCTTGGGGTTCTACCTGACCAGGGAGAAACTGCCTCTCCCAGGGCTAGTGAATGAACAACTAACCTGTGAATACACCTCTCATATGCAAACCAACCACCCCTGAGTCCATACCTCCAAACACTTCCTTTGCCCCACCTCACACACCAAGTTAATATTGCTTCTGCTAGAAGCAACCTGGGGCAACAGGTACCAGACAACTAGGGAAAGTCTCTGTGCCCCCAGACTCTTCCAGAATTATTCAAACTAGCCAGTCCTAAGGTGTTTGCCCTGCCTTGCCATGCCTTGCCTTCCCCACAAGAAAACTGTGGTGTATGCCTTCCCCTCACTCCTTTCTGCTACCTGACAAACCTTGTGCTTCACACTATGGCCCTGTATGGTGTGGAGTAGACTTTGTTTCCAGAGGATTTTCGAGTCACATTGAACTTTTCTTTCAGTGGTATTGACCTCTCCATGTTGTCACCCAAGTCATCTTTATAAATGAATAACTGGGCATAAATCAAAGGGGGGCCAAATTATCTTTAAACTTAATTGAGATACAAGGTTATGTATGTGTGGTAAGGAGGAGATATGATGGAAAGAATCTTAGCTTTGGAGTCAAACAGATTGATTCAAACTCTGGCTCCAGGCTTTGATTCTATAGTTGGTGACACTGGACAAGTCATATAATTTATCTGTGTTCTAGTTTCCTTCTCTATAAAATATAGAAAATAATATTTACCTTACCAGGTTTTAGAGGATTAAATGGAATAATCCTATCTTTTCCTCAATGCAGATTTGACTTGTGTATCGAACTACTTTCTACACATCTCCATTTGAGTATCTTATCAGCAGTTCAAATGCTCATATATCCAATCTGATATCATGACAGCTACCCCCCATCCATTCCTCCCCAGTATTCCCCTTCTAAGTTCATGGCACCACTATTCACCCAGTTTACCCATGCCAAACTATCTTATAGTAATTCTTGACTCTTCTCAAAAGTGAGGTATTGAAGTCTCCTACTCCTATTATTTAATTGTGTATTTCTCCATTTCTGTCAGTTGTTCTTTGATGTTTTTGATGCTCTATTATTAGGTGCATATATGTTTATAATTGTTATTAGTTCCTAATGAATTGACCCTTTTATTATTATGAAATATCCCTCTTTATCTCTACTAACATTTTTTGCTTTAAAGTCTGATTTTCTCTGATATTAACATAGCCAGTCCACCTTTCTTGTGGTTTTGGTTTGTATTATTCATCTTTTTCTATACTTTTACTTTTTATTTATTTGTATCTTTGAATTTAAAATGTCTCTCCTGTAGACAGCATATAGTTGGATCACAGTTTTGTTTTGTTTTGTTTTATCCTGACAATTTCTGCCTTTTGGTTGGGTTGTATAATCCACTCACATTTATTATTATTATTGATATAGTGTGAGTTAAAGGTTATCTTTTCATTCTACTTTTTATTGTCTATATGTCTCATGTCTATTTGTTCTGCTATTTCAACTTTGCTGCTTTATTTTTCATTTAGTCATCAAATGAATATTTTTAATATAGTATTTGTAGTGCTTGCTCTGGGGTTTATTATATATACCTTAATTTATCAGAATCAGCTTCAGATTATACTTGCTAATTCCAGTACTGTGTAGAAGCATTACTCCTTTGTAGCTCTATTCCTTTCCCCACTTTTTGTGGCATTATTGTTATACACATTATATAACATCTATTAATGTTACAAACTCAACAATACATTGTTATAATTATTACTTTACTATCTGTAGTCATTTTCTTAGTCCAGTACAACTATGTTCCTGCTCATCACTTTGTGCTGTTAGTGGCAAATATATTACACAAGTATTGTGTTCTTGTAGGTTATAGGTCCAACATTCCATCATAAACATATTATTTTATATGACTGCTTTTTAAATTGATAAGAAAGGAGAAAATTTGCATCTGCACTTTTCTTTTTTAAAAAATAATTATGTAATTACCTTTACCCTTTTATATTTCATGTGGATTTAAATTACCATCTGGAGATACTTAACATCCGTTTGAAGAACTTCCATTAGTATTTCTTGTGAGACAGGTCTGCTGGCAACAAATTCTCTCAGTTTTGTTTATCTGGGAAGGTTTCCATTTCATCTTCATTTTTGAAAGATAGCTTTCCTAGATATGGGATTTTTGATTTTTTTCTTTTGTATGTTTGATATATGTGTCATTATCTTCTGCCCTCCATTATTTCTGCTGAGAAATTAGCTGTTAGTCCTATTGGGGTTCCCCTTGTAAAAGATGAGTCATTTTTCTCTTACTGCTTTCAAGATTTTCTTCATGTCTTTAAACTTCAGCATTTTTACTACAATGTGTCTATTTGTGGATCTCTTTGCATTTATCCTAGTTGGAGTTTGTTGAGCTTCCAGGATGTGCAGGTTGTTGTTTTTCAATAAATTAGAGAAGTTATCTGCTGTTATTTCTTTGAACATTTTTTCTGCCCCTTTCTTTCTCTCCTATCCTTCTGGTACTCCCATTATGTGTATTTGGTGCACCTGATGGTGCCCCACATTTCTCTGAGGCTCTGTTCATTTTTCTTCATTCTTTGCTCTCTCTGTTCTTCTGCTTACATAATCAGTGTTGATCTGTTTTCAAGTTTGCCAGTTCTTTCTTTTGCCAGTTCATATCTACTGTTGAGCCCCTCTAGTGAATTTTTATTTGTTACTATATTTTTCAACTCTTGAATTCCCATTTAGTTCTTTTTTATATTTCTTCTGTTTATTGATGTTCTCAATTTAATATGACATTGTCATCATATCTTTCTTACTTCTTTAATCATGCTTTACTTTATCTTTGTGAACATACTTATAATGACTGTTTTGAAGTCTTTTTCTGTTAAATTGCTGGACTCACTCATAGGCAGTTTGTGTTGCCTGCTTTTTCTCTGGTTTATGGGTCATACTCTAGTGTTTCTTTGCATGCCTTAAAACTTTTTGTTGGAAACTGGGCATTCTTTTTTTT